TTAAATTCTAAAAAGTCTTTAATTTCTTTATTTCTTCCTTGATCAAGTTATCATTGAGTAGAGAGTTGCTGAATTTCCATGGGTATGTGGGTTTTCTGTTGTTTTTATTGTTATTGAAGTCTGTCCTTAGTCATTTGTTTTCAAAAGAAATAATCCCTTTTTATTACCTACTTGATTTTCTAGATCTTTTATCCTGGTAAACCTGATCTTGTGCTATAAACACAAATACCTTTTTTTGTTTTTTCTTATCTCTTACATTTTGTGAATCTTTTATGAAAATCATCCTTGGAATTTTTTATACTTTTAAATATTAGTATTTTGGTAAAACCAAAGATTGTGTTGTCACTTTCCTTTGTTTTTCTCACAGCCTTTGTTCCAGTCCCTCAATTTTCTCTTGTCATTCTCTACCTTTGAGTTCTTTGTTGAGTCCTTTTACATGTAGACCCTTCTCTTCAGAACCAAACATAATAAGTATTTTTTTCTGTTACTGATGACATATGTGAAAAATTTAGTGCATTTCTTCCAGTAAAACTTAGCACACATTTATTGTTGCATATATATAGATGGCAGTCTTCTTTTAAGTAAAAGCTCTAGGGTCCACACTAAAGGCCAGATGATTGGTTAATTACGTTCTTTCACATTTGCTCCCTAAGACAGAAGAAATAGAATGTAGTCTCTAAGAATATTTTGTGTTATCTTTGTAATATTAACTACATTTAAAATGCCTCAAAGAGTTGTTTATCAAAGCATATATGGGGGACATTTTTTATTGATATGATTTTTAGGGATATTTAAATTCTGTATCTGTTTTGAGCCATAAAAAAGGTCAGCAAATAATGTTTATCCACTCCCTTGAGGATTTGCTGAGTCAGTCATAATGCTTCAAACACTTTAAAACACTTTTAAAATGTCATTCCCTGGATCCTTGTCTACTGGGATAAAGCTATGATAGTGCCCTTGCTACGCTTAGCCCATTTCCCCTTGTTGTGTTCTTAGTAAACCAGCTTTTTTCTCTTGCTGTGTGTGTGTGTGTGTGTACACATGCATGTGGGTAAGTACATGTCTTTCATTCCTATATGATAATTACATTTTTCTAGTCCTCTCAAGGCTTTCATAGCTATAATAACAGGGATAAGATAATTTCCTCGTGAGTCTGTCATGAGTTCGTAGTCAAGTAAAAGAATCTGCAATTCTTGTGCTTGATTGTGGAAACAACTTGGGCCAAATCTAGCAGAACTTTTTACAAAGTGTTCTCAGATCCACTGATGCTTCAACTCAAGGTTCTTGGTGACATCACTTCAGCTTTGATGTGAAGGTGACCAGCTTGCTTAACACTTGTGCAAGATTTCCTTCAGAATCATTTTACAGCCTCACTATCTTAGCTTTCTAAGTAGGGCTTTTATTAACAGACTTGCTGGCTGTATTAGTCAAGATTCATAGAAATTGTTTCTTGATATGTGGGGGACTAGGATTCTATTTCTAAAAGTGTTTATCTTCTTCTCCTTTTCAGAGATAAAAACTACTTGGAAACCTTGGATAATAGTCTTAACCAAGACCGGCCATTATGATAGAACAGATGACCAGGAGTACTTTAGTAACAGCTCACCAACATTAGAGCAGGATTGAAATTTTACAATGGAAAAAGAAATTTTCATACTAGATAGACATTTGCTGTTTTGTGGAGAAATGTAAAAATATTAAAATAAACCTTAATTTTAAAAAAGTCACAGTTTTAGGATAGCCACAATACAAGTATTCTACATTCATTTATGAAAATTCAGTGTACAGGATGCAATTCTCTTCTACCATGTGAGTCCCAGGAATTGAACTGTAGTCATCAGGCTTAGTGACAGATGCTTTTCCTTACTTATTGTCACACCTACTCCTCTATACCTTTAGTTTCTTGATGAAAATATAGGTTTTGTTTGTAGCATTCAGAATTCTGGGAATGAATTGATAAAATTACAGCTTTTCCTTTAAGCTGGCTGGAATTTTGTCATAGAATGTGCTGAAAGAATGATGGAACCCCTCTTTCCATCATGACATCTGAGTGATAGGAAAGGAACAGATTTTCTAATGTAACTGCTTAATTTCACCTTTTTAAAATGATATTTCTAAAGTAATTCTTTTTCTCTGCCATTTCCTACATAGGCACATCAAAATTTTACTGAATTTTGTTGTTGGATACCATCTATAAGGCTTGATTCTTTATTTAAATAAGAAATATGCTGAACCAGTTCTGGCTTATTGTATGAATACCTGTGACCAAAACAGGAAGTTAACCTCTTCTATCTTTATTTTCTTTGTTTCACTGGCAGAATCCCAAGGACTGCAGCAAAGCCAGGAAATTGGTGTGTAACATCAATAAAGGCTGTGGCTATGGTTGTCAACTCCATCACGTGGTCTACTGTTTCATGATCGCTTATGGCACCCAGCGAACACTCATCTTGGAATCTCAGAATTGGCGCTATGCTACTGGTGGATGGGAGACTGTGTTTAGGCCTGTAAGTGAGACATGTACAGACAGATCTGGCCTCTCCACTGGACACTGGTCAGGTAAGGAGCTTGCGCACTCTACCAGATATCTAGTAAGGTCAGATCATCAGATTTTCTTTTCTTCTTGATTCAAATGTAGAATAGTATTTTATTTTTAAAGTATTGTATACCTAGCTGTAGTGCTACATACCTATAATTCCAGTGCTTGAGAGTCTGAGATGGGAGGATTATGAGTTCAAGGCCAGTTTTGGTTACATGGCAAAAAATAAATAAATAAAAATAATTTAATATTTTATTCAATGTATATTTTTATCTTGATTTAACAAATTTGCTGTGGTTTTTCTCAAGGAGTACAATTTAATATTTTAATAAGGATAATGTAGTTTTCCCTTTTAAGGTGATATTACTGAATTCATTTACTCTTGATAATTATTGCAGAAAGCAGACCAAGTTTCTCAACCATAAGAGTTTCAAACAGTAGCATGCTATTTGTAGTGGAGGATTGACCTGTTGAAATGGAGGATTCTGATGTAGGCTGTCAGAAGTGGACCTAAGAATTTCATTTCTGAGAAAATTTCTATATCTTAAGACCAAAGTATGAGAACCATTGAGATGGACTCTGCTGGCAACTTTGTCTCCGTTTTACAGTTGAGGACAATGACACCTCCTTGTTTGCTTATATAATTTTAATTTTAATCAAGAAACATTTGGTGATAGATAGGGTAAATTGCAGTCTAGTCCAGGCTTTCTCAAGTGATTTTTAAAAAAGAAAAAAGATAACAGAAACTTTCCTGTCTCATCACTGAAGTGGTATTAAAAAGACTAGACTATAAACAAAGTCTTAGTGGTAATTCAGTGCTTTTGTTTTATGCTCAAGACTTTAAACAAATCTGTTATATTAGATCTTATGTCCAATTGCTATCTTGTAATCTTGGGTAAGTTTCAGAACCCAAGATGGAAGTTTCTTCACCAGCAAAATGAGAGTGATAATTTGCCCCATTGAATTGTTTGTAACAGGAAATGAAGTCATATATTGAGATTCATTTACTGTATTACCTCATGTAAGAACTGACTTAAATACAAACTACTATTGTTAGCTTTAAAAATACATGGGTACCTTGTAATGTTGCAGACAGTATTTGTCGTAAAAGTTAAGTATTGCTGAACATGGTAGCTCAGGGTCCCAGCACTCATGAGGTGGAGGCAGGTAAATTTCTGAGCTGAGGCCAGTGTAGTCTACATAGCAAGTTCCAGGCAACCAGGGCTGCATAGTGAGACACTACTTAAAAGCAATAAAATAAAAATGTAAAAAGGATATGTTTGAGATCAGAATTTTTTGTTTTTAATGAAATATATTGATGTCATCAGTCTTTGTTTATATAAATAACTAATAGTAATAAGATATGTGTATTATATATATATATATATTAGAGAAACGAAAACATTTCAAAATAGAGGAACCAGCATAAATTCTAATAAGCTCCTTGATATTAATCCTTTGATTATAAAAATATCTGTTGTTATGATTTATACAAAGAACTCTGGATTTTTTTTTCCTTTGGCACTACTTCCATGAAATTGTTACTGTTCAGGGACACTTTACATGAAATGCCTGTGGCTGGAATTTAATGATTTCTTATTTATGTGATTCACTAAGGCAGGAATTAGTGCATACATCTAATCAAGCTACATCCTACCTTGAATGTTGACTTACATTGCTCCTGCATTATTTTATAGTTGTAAGACCATATTCTGTACTGAGAAGATGGTTTAGTGTGTAAGAGCACTTGCTGTCTGTGCATGAGGACCCGAGTTGAAGTTCTAGAACCCATGTATAAAGCTAGGCATGACTGTGTGTCTGTAACCCTAGTGCTATGGGGGAGGGGTGGAAATTAGAGGATCACTGGGGCCTCTGGGCACTAGCCTAGCCTCATGATCAGTGAAAGCCCCTGTTTTATAGGGCACCCAACATTTTCTTCTGGCCTTCATGCACATGAGTACTTGCACCCATTCACATGCATTGCACCCGTGTGTGTGTGTGTGTGTGTGTGTATGTGTGTGTGTGTGTGTGTGTGCACGCGCGTGCACACGCACAGACACACAAAATCTTCTATAATGAGAATTTGTTAGGTGAAGATAGATAATAAAGAATATCCATCTAATTAAAAATCATTGAATCCCTCATATTGCCTGTACACATTATGTCTATTCTTAATAGTTGTGTATTTAAAGTGGCAGAGAATAAAGTCAGTTTATTTTCCTTACTATGAGATAGCTCCTAAACTTAAAGCAACTACATGTAGTAGACCTTCAGATTCTTCCACATAGATTCTTCCTCATGAAGTTACAGTAAGAATCTTGTTTATTTAATGCTTTAAAATATCTTTGAACAATTACTGATTTATTTTTGAAATACAGCATTCTATATAGGGTATGGAAATGTAGAACTGTTTAAGGATTTAAAAAAACAACAAACCTCATTTAGAAATAAAAAAGGAAATTATATACTTACCTGGCAAGGGGGAGATACCATGATTACAAGAGTGTCTTTCCCAGGGTGAGGCTCATCCACTGCACTCTGGATGTGCGGATCTCTGTGATTCTCCATGTGTGGGCAACTGAACTGAATCATTTGTGATAGGTGAGGGCCTGTGTTCCCACACAGAAGAAGAAAGTGAAAATGAAGATAAGCATTCTCCATTCTTCAAACACAGCAAGCTTTGATTTCTCAGGTGCCCATATGTCACATGAGGGTCATTCTCCACTATTATATGGAGTGATCCATCTAGCAATGGAAATGTCTAGCATTTAAAACCTAAGTTGGATTCAGAACCTGATATGTACACTTTTCAAGTAACATATTTTTCTTTCAGAAAAATATTCCTGTTTTATAGCCTACCATGAATCTTAGAAGAACCTGTTATGGCTGAATTAAAGGAGGAATTTAATTCATTCTTCTGTTGTGTTGTAATGTACTAGTATTCGCTTGTGTATTCCCTCTGTGGTAGACATTTACATCATCACAGGCTTTTGCTATTGTAAACAATGATTAATAGTTATCTTCATGCAAAATTCCTTGTGTATATGGAATTAATTTATTAGCTTACTAGGCTAGTGGTTTTTAAACTTGTTCACATTATATAAAATATATTTTATTGTCTATATTTTCCCTTTATGGAGTACCATATGGTAAAGTCACAGATCTTTGTGACACTTTGTTACATGTAAAATCTTATGCTCTGGAAATTAGGTTGACAAACTTTACTCCTCAGATCAAACAAAACCCACATACTTGTCTTTTAAAATAAAGTTTAATTATAGAATATTGCCTGTTTACTGATACTACCTGTGGTTGCTTTCACATTTCTCTGGCAAGGTAAGAGACCCTGTGGCTCTCTATATGATTTAGGGTTCTCCAGATAGACAGCAACTAAAGGTGTATGTATGCATTTAGAACCATTTATTAGAAGATAAACTGGTTCTTTGAGAAAATCAACAAGTTAGATAAACGTGTAGCTAGACTAACCAGAGGGCACAGAGACAGTATCCACATTAACAAAATCAGAAATGAAAATGGAGACATAATAACAGAAACTGAAGAAATTTTAAAAAATCATCAGATCCTACTACAAAAGCCTATACTCAACAAAACTGGAAAATCTGGATGAAATGGATGATGTTTTAGACAGATATCACATACCAAAGTAAAATGAGGATCAGATAAACTATCTAAACAGTCCTATAACCCCTAAAGAAATAGAAGCAGTCATTAAAAATCTCTCAACCAAAAAAAAAAGCCCAGGAGTATATAGTTTTAGTGCAGAATTCTATCAGACCTTTAAAGAAGACCTAATACCAATACTCTTCAAACTGTTCCACAAAATAAAAACAGAAGGAACACTACCTAATTTCACTCTATGAAGCCACAGTTACTCTGATACCTAAACCACACAAAGACCCAACAAAGAACGAGAACTTCAGACCAATTTCCCTTATGAATATTAATGCAAAAATACTCAACAAAATTCTTGCAAACTGAATCCAAGAACACATCAAAATGATCATTCATCATGATCAAGTAGGCTTCGTTCAGAGATGTAGGGATGGTTCAATATACAGAAACCCAGCAACGAAATCCACTATATAAACAAACTCAAAGAAAAAAACTGTAGGAAGCCGCGCATGCGCTGGCTGAAGCCGTGTTTGCCTGGCATCCGGGATTCTTCCTAGTAAACAAGTAAATTGCGCATGTGCCATGGTAAAAGCCCGCCAAAGTTAAAGCCCATCCCACGGCGTTTTGGCGCGCAATGAGTAAGCAGCCAATCAGAGGTGAATACACCGCTCTAGGGTATATATAGCAGTGCTTTCCCGGGCCTGGCGTCTTCTTCTTCGTCTTCTTCTTCCACCATTTTGGTTTTTGGGAATAAACGTGTTCTTACAGAAGGATTCTGGTGTGTGTGTGCGTGTGCGTTCTTGCCGGCGAGACGATTACACGCGTGCCTCACAAAAAACCATATGATCATCTCACTAGATGCTGAAAAAGCATTTGACAAAATACAACACCCTTTCATGTCAAAAGACTTAATTCAAGGCCCATACCTAAACATAATAAAATCAATATATAGCAAACTAATAGCCAACATCTAACTAAATGGAGAGAAACTTGAAGCAATCCCACTAAAATCACAAACTAGACAAGGCTGCCCACTCTCCCCCTATCTATTCAATATAGTACTGGAAGTCCTAGTCAGAGCAATTAGACAACAAAAAGAAGTCAAAGGGATACAGATTGTATTAGAAGATTGTAGAAGAAGTAAAAATATCACTATTTGCAGATGATATGATAGTATACTTAAGTGACCTCAAAAATTCTACCTGAGGCCTCCTACAGCTGATAAACAATTTTAGCAAAGTGGCTGGACATAAAATTAACTTGAATAAATCAGTAGCCTTCTTCTACTCAGAGGTTAAATGATCCTCCCTTCTGCTACTTCCCATGAGTATTTCATTCCCCCTTCTAAGGACTGAAGCACCCACACTTTGGTCTTCCTTCTTCTTGAGCTTCATATGGTCTGTGAGTTGTATCATGGATAGTCTGAGCTTTTTTTTCCCTAATATCCACTTATCAGTGAGTACATATTATATGTGTTCTTTTGTGACTGAGTTACCTCACTCAGGATGATATTTTCTAGTTCCATCCATTTGCCTGCGAATTTCATGAAGTCATTGTTTTTAATAGCTGAGTAGTACTCTCTTGTATATTTTTTAACTTATTTTTATTTATGTAAGTCTCCTTGAGAGTCTTCAATTTAATTTTTCATTTTCAAATAATTGTAATGCACAAATTTTAATGCACAAACAAATTTCATGAGCATTTGTAGGACTACAGATTACTTACTCAGTGATAACAGGTGAAATTCATGGTGTGTGGCACAACAGTAAATTACCAAGGCTTGCTTAAAAAGAAATAGATAACTTTCACTAAAGAAACTGAGTTTAGATCTAAAACGGTAGCTCAGTGCTTCATATCCACTGGGCCCATCCCCAGCATTTTAAAGAAAACAAAACAATTCTACAGCTGAAATGCCAAGTGTGACACTCGGATGAGCTGTGCAGAAGGATTTAGGATCACGTGTTCTAGGCTGGCCTGAGCAGCATAGATAGATCCCAGGGAATAGAGAGAAGAAGGGAAATAAGCTTAATTTATAGTTTAAAACGTTTCCATAACGAAAACCTCAGGTCTAGATGTCTTCACCAGAAAACTGAACCTTTAGGGAGGACTGAATATCAGTGTAGAAAGTTGAATACTTACTTTCTAATTCACTGTATAAGGGAGGATCACTCATAAAACCAGATTGGGCTTCCTACAGGAAAGAAGTCACCAGATGACAGGCTTCTTTGGGTACCTGGAGTGTTGGGCACAGATCAGACATGCAAGGGCAAGGCTCAGAGGTAGTTGGTTATATGAGAAGGCAGACAGATGCTGCATCTAAGGTCATTGTTCATTTGATTTTCCCGTATCTTCACCTAACCTCTTAAGCATCCTGGCTTTTCTTTCCAGTTGGTTTTTTGAGAGGCTGAGACAGGAGAACTATGAAGTCGAGGCCTGCTTGGGCAGTCTAGCAAACCCCATCCCAAAATAATGTAAATATCTTCAACTTTGTAAACACTATTGAATGCTTAGATGCTCTTCAACTTGTGTACTGTAGAGATCTGTATATCAGTAATTAGATCTCGTGAGCCTTGCTAGCTAGATTGCCAAGAACTCTGTATATTCCATCCCATTAATGCCCACGATTACCTGGGTTGCCCACATTTCATATAAGTGACTTGCCAGAGGTGCTGCAGCTATTAAGATACAGAAGCCCAGTCCACCTTCGAAACCTGATCTTTTATTTTTTAATTTGTATTTTTAAAGCTAAATTATTTATTTACCTTACATCCTGACCAGTTTCTTCTCTCTGCTCTCCTCCCAGTCTCCCCTCCTATCCTCTCTCCCTCCCTTTCTCTTCAGAAACAGGGAGGCCTCCCATGGGTATCAGCCAGCCTTGGCATATCAAGTTACAGTAGGGCTAGGCTCATCTTTTCCTGTTGAGGCTAGATAGAGCAGTCCAGTAGAAGGAAGGGTCCCAGAAGCAGACAACAGAGTCAGAGATAGCCTCTGCTTCTGAATCTCACATGAAGACGGAGCTACACAAATGTTACTTATGTGCAGAGGACCTAGGTCAGTCTCATGCATGCTCCCTGGTTAGGAGTTCTGACTCTTGGAGCCGTTATGGGCCCAGGTTAGATGATTCTGTAGGTTTTCTTGTGGTGGCCTTTGAAACCTGATATTTCATGAACCAAAAAATCAGCAAGTGATATTTTCCCTAAATCTCCAGCCTGCTCCATTTTTAAAGGGTTGTTTTAAACAGCAGTAGAAGGGACATATACAGTCTATAGGCATCAAATATTTGCTACTTTTCCTTTTGCAGAAAAAAATATTAATGATTGAACTTCCTATACTTGGAAAATTCCCAGTCTAAACAGGAAATAAGTTCAAACATTTCAAAAGTCTATCTCATGAGGTCACCGTTGTCAATGGTATGTAAGTTGTAAGCAAGACTCTAAAGGATGAGGGGGAACATACCCATTATAGACATAAAAGAATTGGCATTTTAAAGCTGTTTTTGTCAGAGTTGTTTAAATGGCCAGAAATCTTAGGAGTGGAATCCTACACACTTGGAGTGCCTGACAGATAATGATAAAATGGCCAGGTGCCTGTCACATCTTGCTTAGAAGAGAATTCCAAAGTACCAGAACTGAAAATTATTTTTCTCTTCAGCCTCTAATTTGCTGAATTACATAGAAGAGAGATGTAAGCTATCTGCTTCTCAGTTTAGCCTTTAGTCAGATGTGAGTGAAAACTCAATTTTGATAGCTAATTTATAATTAAATTTATTAGCTAATTTTGATAGCTAATTTTATTGTACTTTGCAAGTAAACCAAAAACTCTGATGGGGATACTTGTATTTAAATGATTTTTCTTTAAAAATTTTTCATGCACTATGTTTTGATCATATTGTTTCCTATCTCCCAACTTCTCCCTGATCCATCCCACCTTTCTAATCACCCAACTCCATGTTCTAGTTCTCTATTTCTAAAAAAAAAAAAAAAAAGAAAAAA